AAACATTCTAGTAGAGAAAGAGAATAAAAAACTGTTAAACGGGGGTGCCTTGGTGGCTCAGTGGGTTAAAGCCTCTGCCTTCAGCTCGGGTCGTGATCCCAGGGTCCTGGGATTGAGCTCCACATCGGGCTCTCTGCTCAGCGGGGAGCCTGCTCTCTCCTCTCTCTCTGCCTGCCTCTCTGCCTACTTGTGATCTCTGTCTGTCAAATAAATAAATAAAATCTTTAAACAAAACAAAACAAAAAAACCTGTTAAACGATTCAGCCACAGAACATTTATCACTGGATGAAAGACTGCAGGATATTCACAAAGTTTCAAAGTTTATCATCTCACAAATTACTTAATAATTGCAAACAGAAAAAGGTGCCTTTAAAATGGAGAAAGCTGGCAGAAAACATTCAAACCAAATGACTAGAACTCAACATCACTACTAAAGGGGCAAGCATGGATGTGACACACTGTAGTATTATTATTATATTGCACCATTACAATTTTTCTAAGGTTTGAAATATTTTCCAAACAGTTGGAGGGAAACACCAACAAACAAACAAAAAAAGCCAAAAGACACTTACAAATCAGGGTAGAATGAATGCAGTTGTCCTGTATTCCATTCACTTTATCAGGAAGAAACGCCAGGAAAAGTAGGTGAAGGAGTTTAACCTTACTTGTTAATAATATGTTGTTGGGGTGCCTGGGTGGCTCAGTGGGTTAAAGCCTCTGCCTTCCGCTCAGGTCATGATCTCAGGGTCCTGGGGTCGAGCCCTGCATCGGGCTCTCTGCTCAGCAGGGAGCCTGCTTCCCCCTCTCTCTCTGCCTGCCTCTCTGCCTACTTGTGATCTCTCTCTGTGTCAAATAAATAAATGAAATCTTTAAAAAAAAAAAATATGTTGTTAACTGGTCCTCCTGGTGAACCGACTAATGATTTTTATTAGGAGGAAAGTCCTTACCTGAAAAATGCTCTTAGGAAGCTGTCCCTTGTAAGGACACCTACAGTAAACAAACTTAAAAATCTACAGACTTATGAGGCATGACCCACCGGAGAAAATAATTTAAGCCATCTAACCCTGGGGAACAGAATGGAGAAGTTTCAAAACCTAAATGCTCTTTGCTATGAAAATAACTACACTTCCTCATTTAGAGACCTAATCATTTACTCTTGCCCAGAAAGTGCCTGTCTGATGTAGAAAGGACATGCGGAATCACCCAGACTCCCAGATCTCTCTCCTTGCTTCACGTGCATTTCACAGCAGAGCCCTGAAACTATCAGCAAAGCTGGACTGTAGGTAAGATCTCTAAAATGTGTCTGATTTGATTTTTTGTATTGGCGTACAGGCAAAAGATGAAACTGTCAAAAGCAATTATGATCTAGGACAAACTTAATACTGTTACTTTAGTAGGATTAAGTGAACTGTTAATTTGATACAACTAACTAGCACAGTATCCTTCCAGGAAAAATAAGGCATCTTTTACCCTATGGCATTCATAGGAGAAAACAACCAAAAGTATATGAAATTACAGAGAAATTTCTCAGCAAATTTTTAAAAAGCAAATACAACTAGAAATGTACAAAATGTTAATTAATATATGAAAATATATGATGATAAACATATAATCCAGTGGGTGTATGCAGCCCAGAACTTTTCTAAACATGTCCTGTGAAATAAGAATCTGTGTAATTTACAGAGTTGGGGTGAAATTCAAATGACGGGATATAAATATCATAACCTAAACCGTTTTTCCTATTTGTACTCCACTAATGCCAACTACTTAGAAATAGGTTATGAAGGGGCATGAGAGCAGACAATCCTAACATCTGACGCAAGCTCAAAGTTCGCTTTGAGTAGGAGATCTGAGCACATCAAAAGAAAGGAAGATGGAAACAAAATTAGGAAGTTTTAAAATAGAGATGTAAAGGTAGCAGGCAGAGCAAGATCTCACAGAACCCATACACTCTCAGTGCACAGGAAAACCAACGTATGGAAGAGTAATAGCCTCGGTGAGGAATAAGTAAGGAATAGTAAGCAGAGAGAGGTAACTGAATATACTTAGTTGCAAGGAATTAAAGAATTTGAAAACATGTTGTAAATCTCTAGGCCTTTGTCCCCTACAGGACAAGTATCCTGTTTATTATTATATTCTCTCATCCAATCTCTAGGACACTAGAATCTAGGTACATTTCAGGAAATTCTTGCCTTACTGAAGCAGCATAATTAAGTAGTTACTAACATTCACTTCATAGTCTATTTGGAAGCCCACCACCCAGTAACTATTTGACCTTGGGCAAGCTGTTTGACTTCTCTAAGAAGTTTCATATTTTGTATTTGTATTTTGTATTTCTATTTTTGTAATTTCGTATTTTGTAAGATTGGGACAAGAATGATACCAACTTCCCAAGATAGTGAATACAAAACATACAATATACTACCTGGCACATAGTAAATGCTTAGTAAAAGCCAGTCATTTTATTTACTATTTAAGAAGGAATTTCTTGAACATTTTGATTGACTTCAGTGTATGTCTCAATTTTACTATCTCCTTCTCTAGCTAAAAGGAATCAGTAAAAGTTGATAAGCTACGTTAATTTCCAAAGAAAAAAGAACTGTTTAGGAAGACAGTATTTACACTAACATCAAAGTAAAAAGCATGAATACTATTAGAAAAGGCAGCAAAGACTTGGTATTCATACATTACAGTCTATAAAATTAGAACCTATGATTTTATAGTATTGTAAAGATCAGGGCATTTTTTTTCTTGGTCAGAAAACACCAACTCCCATTTCCAAAAATATCTCAGGTTTTCTTCTTGAGGAAGTCAGCTTGCAACAAAATACCCTATTATCTTAGAAAACAAGTATAGGACAATATGTCATGAACAACTCTGTAAAAATGTAGTGGTATATGAGCCAAAGAAAAAAATCATCTGGAAAAACAAATAAGTAGAGGTTCTTCCCCAAATTTATTTGAGACTGTAAGTTTTCTGTTTGTGACTATTTCTTTGATACTCCCATGTAGATGAACACTTCATTAAGAAATCACAAATGACCTTTCAATTTTTAAAAATCCTCTATGCCTTTGATTCTTCTAGAAAAGTAGCTTAATTTTGTAAAAGAATCATGAATGAGAAATAAAATTTCAAATGTAAGAAAAGTGTACAGTCTTTTTAGTATACTTTTTATTCTGGCTTTTACATTCAAATGTAATCCAGTTTTTAAATAGCACTATGAAAGAAGTTGATATAAAAGTATCCAATCTACACCACTACTAAAAAGAATTCAAAGTATATATACACATATATGTACTATTAATTTTACTATTGCAAGGAATATACAGGTTACAAATTTTAGCTTTCTATGAGGCAATAATCCCATAGTGGTCTTACATAATCAGAGTAAACTAGGAAAACAAACAAACAAACAAGGTCACAACACTGCAATCTTGTGAACCTATAAACTTTAATTATCATTCAGCCTGCTTTCCTGTTGCTGATGAGGTTTAAGAATAAGAGAAAACAACTTTCACATACAGATCAAACAGGACTTTCTTTCGAATTAAATTAAATTCACTATCAAGAGCTATAGAAAGGAAGATTAACAAATATATTTTAACCTCAAACTCTTCATACATTGTATATAGCTTTATTGTATATAATATATCCTTTCTAGGGTAAGAGAAAATCAGCAGTTACACAGTAGTTCAAAGCATAGGAATAATTTAGGACTGCAAAAATGACTATTCAGAAGAAATTATAGGGAAAAATTTAGGTAAGGAATGTAATTAAGTAAGGACCTTGGTTAAGAGAAAGTGAAAGAAAAAATGGGATAAATCGTAATTTTCTATCTCAGTGCTACACTCAAAACAGAAATCTCTATAAAGGTTGTATTTCTCAGAGGAATTTCACAGAAAAAAAAGGTACATGAAAAAGCCCACATGTGTGATCCATACTGACACAAACAATAATGACTCACAAACAAATATTTTGACTGAATGACTAGATAAAAGGGGGATTAAATCTTTGAGAAAGAAAAGATACAGCAAATGGATTCTGCGAATTTTGCAGACCTGTGAACATAAAATAAAAATACGCAACAAAAAAAACTCACACAAATAATGTCCACCTCTATTTCTACTCAGATTAACTGTGATAACTTTGTCCTATAAAACACTGTATCATCCCTTCCAAAGGAAAAAAATGGTGAGAAGCTCTGATGATCTAACTCAATTAAAATATTGTTAGGGAATTCTCTTGCCCTTTTATCTACCTCAAAACTTGGAAGTTATACCAAAATGTAATAGTTAAACATACATGCAAAATGACCCTGCAATTAAGGTAATTGCTGGTACCAAATGTTGTTTTTAAGTTCTGCAATAAAACAGTCTCCCAGACATTTAATAGTATGTCATTTGGTAAATGAAAGTTTCCACAAAGTAAGAGCAGTGAGAAGACCTAAAAATTATGCTAGTGAAGAGTCTGGCTGAAAGAAACAAAAATATGGATCATTTTGGTCCAGCACTAATTTTATTTCAAGTTACTACAGAGCTGAATAAAACTCTGACACCACCACACAAAAATTTATTGAGTTGGCAATAGGAAAAGCATGATGTCAGCCACCGATACCACCGTCCGCATTACCAAATAGCAAGTACGCTTTCATTCTCGAACTTAACGTAGACTTTTTATGTGTGAAGTTAGAGTAAAAATAAAAATCTCAAGCGTGAGGCATTATTAAACACAGATGAGTTTAGTTTGGCATAGTTTCCATGTAAATTACTCTAGAACTTCAACAAATTCAGTAAAAAACATGAAAAAAATGCAAGCTTAAACATATTACAATTTTCTAACTGTGCTACATTCTTCACCAAACAGATCCATAAAATTAAATCTTAGTCAACTGGCAATAATATTCAAATAACTAACACCACACACACACACACACACACACACACACAGCTGAGAGGAGACACGGAAACACACCTATGTATACACACCCACACAAAGCCTACCTTCATAGCATGAATTTCTTCAAGCAGTCGTTGTGCCCGCCTCTGGTTTTTTAACAGTGCATCTTCGGTACCCCTGTAAAAAATACATGAAAATATACAGCCAGGAAAAGCATGTATTTTCGAGTCCAATCATAATTAAAAGTCTCTTCATTTCTTTTAGAAAAGCATAATGTGTAAATAACAAACACTATCATCCTGCACTGCCTTGAACAACCCCACTGTCCAACACCAATTCCATCAACAAACCCAAGTTTTTGGCACACAGAAGCATTACCTGGCATTATATTAATGATGAATACTATTGAGACACAGCAGGCCTTCTAATTCCTTAATGGATAGCCAAATAATAGATTTTAATCAACTGCTTAATGGCACACTGCATTTAATGTAACTTCATAAACTATAGTTAAAGGTCAGATGTAATTTTATTACATAAAATTTTGTTCTCTGGAACTAAAGGAATACCTAAAAAGAAATATCTGATTATATCAGAGAGAAAGGTTATTTATGATAGAACAAGAAATTAATCAGGAACAAAATATATGTGAAAACTAAGTATGCTGAAAGTGTAAAAGCTACAACATGCTTACTCTAATCCTAGTGATAAGGAAATTATAAAATATTATTAAAAATAGAACATAATGTTTTCATAAACACTTCCACAAGGTAATGAAGATTTCCAATTATTTAGCAATTTAAGGAATAAATTGATATAAAATCTTTGTAACGTATTCAAGGTATTACTAGATTTATTACAGTATATCAACATCTTAAAATAACTTCCAATAACATAAAATACACAAATAACTCTGAAGGACTTTCATTCTGGAAAGGCCAGAAGGAGAGTTCTGAAAAAACAGCAGAATTCATTGTGATTTTTAAGCAAATGTGGCCCAAACTATGCAAGGACATGCTGACACAGCACACTGTAACCCACTCAGATCCTCTCTCCATATAAAAAAAAAAGTGTTTTATGAGTAAGATACTTAATTATTCCTCCTGGTCCCACCCTCAAATTTTGTAAATACTGAATAAAAACAACTTCTGACATTCTATTAGTCACAGGACCATGACTTCAAGTGACTAACTTTTTTGACTTCAGTCTGCCAACACTTCTGACAAGTTTTCGGATAACCAACACCCGGATTCTCTTCACTTCTTTTCTCATCTTCACAACCTTTGAGGAATAAAACCAAAATTAGAAAGGTTCTCTCTTAATTTGAGATGAAAATCACTTTATTTTGAGTCTTAATATTACAGGTTAAGTCTAATAACTTTAACCAAATTTTCAACCATATTCACAGTTTGATGAAACCAAACTTCTTCTGTAAGAGAGTAAATCAACATTCTAAAAAATGTGTCTGAAGACTTAAGAGAAACAAGCTATGATTTTTTTTTAAAAGGTCACAGCATTCTCAGTGATTAGTATTTTAATAGTGCACTTATATTTTGTGCCTGAACATAATAAACGATTGCGTTCCCTGCGATCAGAGAGCATCACATTCATCTTTGCACCCTTGCAATTTAAAACAGAGCTTTACCCATAATGGCAGGAATTTACTGAATGTTTAGGTTACCAAAAGCAAATGTGTGAAAGTGATAATATTTTACTTATTTATACAGCAACCCTTCCATTTGTTTCTAGTAATAAATTTCAAACCTAACTTTAAAAGAAATGTGAAAAACACCAGGGTGCATGCGTACATGCACGCACACTGACAGATGCTTTAAATCATCCCGTTAGACAACAGTGCTGAACTCTGAGACCAAAAAACCCCAGAAAGACTGTCCAAAAAATGGAAATATTCAGATGATGAAGAACTACATGTTACAACAGTACTTAGTACATCAGGATGCTATCATTTTGAGTTTATATTTTGTCTGTTGTTATTACTAGTCAAATACCTTATCCTTCCTCCTAGAATGTTCTTCTTCCCTTTCTCCACTTTAAAGACCATATAAAATTCAGATAAGATATTCCTGAGAAGTCTTCCAATGACTTCTTCAGATGGAGAGAACTCCTCCAACCTTCACGCTCCCAGTATACTTTATAGGCAGCATCTATCTTACTGTAGTATCCCTGACTGCTCACGTAACCATCTTTTTTTATAGTCTGGGCACTCCTAGAGGACGGGACCTTGTGGTACTGAAATCATTTTTTTTGAGCATTGCTAGAGTGTCTGGCACATACAATCCCTCAAATTCTCCTTGCCAAAATAGCAACATCAACATCATCCTGTTTCTTCAAGGCTCTTGCATTTGGCTATAACCCTGTCTCTTAGCCTCAGTCTATTTCACCCCCTTATTCAGTGAAGATACTGTCAATCAGCTTACAATTTATCTCCATCCTAACTTTTCCCACCATTCTGGGTGACGTAGATGTCCATGTAATAAAACCTATCCATTATCATACCCTCACTTGTTGACTTCCTGTCTTCATGACCTTATCTATTCAGTCTCAGCACCCACGTCCAAGGTAGTAACACTGTAGTCCCTGTTATCACTCATAAGGGATCCATTTTTATAACCATTAATATAAATAGTCTACATTGAGATCAAAATGCCTATTTCCTTGTTCAACTTAACACACCACCACCATCTTTGACTTTACTGGGACCAATAGTTCACTGGCCCCTATACTTTCTCTCAAATGATTGGTCGTGTTCTTTTCAATTTTCCTTTTATTCAGTTTATGTACATGATCAATACTTGCTAATACCTTAAACTGTCCTATCCTTCCTGTTAGCAATTACTCCAGCTAATCCTGGATGAAATAATCATCCTGAGGTGTTTTTTTTTTTTTTACCCCCCCCCAAGATTCATTTATTTATTTTAGGGAGAAAGTCAGCAGGGGGAAGGGCAGAAGGAGGAGAGAGAGGATCCTCAAGCACACTCTGTGCTAAGCACAGAGCCAGATGAGGGGCTCAATCCCAGGATCCTGACATCATGACCTGAGCTAAAACCAAGAATCAGTCACCCAACCAACTGAGCCACCCAGGACCCCTCATCCTGAGTTCTTTATCACAGCCCCTGCAAGAGCTGGGGAATACTTGAGACATTCTATCTACATTAAATTCATTATAACTAACACGAAATGGGCTCCTATACACTCTTAGGAAACCTATTATATTTTTTTGTTCAATTCCTTCTACAATGACTATTTTAAACCTGTGCCTGCCTTCTAAAACACCTGACCTTCCTTTTCTCTCTTTTCCAATTTTATGGAGAAAATGAACATCAAAGGGGAACCATCATCTTTCCACTACAATGAATGCAAATTTACTTGTATCAGCTACTCTCCTCTATTAACCTATTCTCCTACCCAATACGTGACGTTCATCTTCCGGTTGTATTTTGGATCTCATTTTTTCTGCTTTCTTAGAACCCGTACTACACACTACCCCCTTACTCTTGCACTGTCGATCTCTTACATGGTTGTTTCTATTGATTTTTAATCGTGCTTGACTCATTTTCACTAGAGACAAGACAAACAAAACATTCTCACTATGAAGATCACTAGGAGTACCCTCTCTCTACAACTGCCTCAGCCAAGCTTTCAGAGGGGCTCAAAGTCCCTAACTCCATTTCTACTTACCACATAACCCCGTTGGATTTCCATTCTCATCAGTCCACCCTAAGCTATTACAAGAGACATCAATGATTTCTAAAAGTCCCTCAAATCCAACAGGAATTTTTCAGGCTTCGCTTTACTTGCAATCTCGGCAGCATCTGACACTGTTGACCACTTTCTCCTTCGAAGGGACACTTAGAATTATCTCCAGGATTTCCTCCATCCTCTCTCGTCACTCGACCTTGCTCTTCTTTGAAGTCTCCTCCATCCCAACCAGTTTTAAGTTCAAAGGGCAGTCCTGAGCCAACTCTTCTTTTCACAACATACTTTTTAGACCTAAGTGATCTTACCTGTGTACACTGTCATTTCCCACCTAAACAAGATGACTCGGTAATTTCTTGCCTTCAGCTAAGACTCTCTTTTAGCTCCAGACCTAAATGTGCAACTGTCTACTTGGTATTTCCTGTTCAGCAGGCTTAAAATCATCTACAACACACACTTGAACCCATGTTCTTCATTCCTAAATGGATTGCTTTTTTGTTGTTTTATATTTCAGGGAAAAGAACAATCCTTTTGTTCAATGATAAACCTAGGGCTCATTTTAAGTAGCTTTCTTTTCTAAATCCCTCACAATCAATCTGTTACCAAGTTGTGTCAATTTTATCTCCAATTATATCCCAAACTGTACCACTTTTCCCCATATCTTGACCTTCTCGTTCTCTTGGGTGAGTTACTGGTAATTGGTTTGTCTACATCCATTCTTGCCCCTCTCCAACCAGTTATTCACAACTCAGAATACTTTTTTTCTAAGATTTTATTTATTTGACAGAAAGAGAGAGAAAGAGAGAGAAAGAGAGTGAGTGTGCACACACGCACCAGAGGGAGAGAGCGAAGCAGAGTCACCAGTAGTTACGGAGTCCAATTCAGGACTCAATCCCAGTACTTCAGGATTATGAGCTGTGCCAAAAGCAGACGCTTTTGGTAACTGAACAACAAGGCACCCTAGAATACATTTTTTAATACACAGATCTGATGATAGACCTTTACTTAATTCTCTTTGTTTGCAGTTTGTCTTAGGATGGCCACATGGGCCTACTTTTAATCCTTTATCTCCANTTGTCTTAGGATGGCCACATGGGCCTACTTTTAATCCTTTATCTCCATCATGCTTCCACCTACCACCAAGTCTTTACACTTGCTGTTCTCTCTGGTAGAAATGCTCCTTACCACTCTTTCATCTCATCCTTCTGATTTTGGATCAACTGCCATTTCTCAGTGAAATATTTTCTGTCTTCAGACAGTGTTAAAATTCCCCTTTATAAGTACTTAGGAGTACTTCTAGAACTTGTCATGACAATTATTTTAAGTTAAATACTTTATTTGTAATCTGAATACAATCTGATATGTCTTCTTCCCAGCAGATTATAAATTCCATGAAGGTCAAGTGTCTGGTTTTACTAATCATTACATCGTAATACCTAACATAGTGATGGTACAGTATGAGTTTTCAATAAGCATTTGTTAAATAAATGACCAGAAAGATTGTAATACTCACTTGTTCATTCACTTTTTCAAATGTCTAATATATTAACAAAGTGCACAGTGATCAGGTTTCTTTCCTACCAGATATACTAACCTGTTTGGAATTTATTTTAAAGTTCGGTTTAGAAAAAAAATTCATACTTGCATAATAAAAAGCCATTCAGATTAGATTTTAACTGAAAAAAAAAAAAACTGTAACATTTAAAAAAAATTATTTATTTGACAGAGAGAGAGAGAGAGAGAGAGAGAGAGCACACAAGCAGGGGGAGAAGCAGGATCTCTGCTGAGCAGGGAGCCAGACATAGGGCTCAATCCTAGGACACCAAGATCATGACCTGAGCCGTCGGCAGACCTTCGGCAGACCTTAACTGACTGAGCCACCCACATGCCAAAATTGCTACATTTCATATGTAGCAAAATGCGGATTTATAACACATTGTTCTTGAAGGTCACTTATGAGATAAATTAATAGTGAGTTATATAGTATGCACTAAAATATATTAGCAAGTGTTTCTAATTGCTGTAGCCCACAGGTACATAAGATGATATGATATTTGTTAACTGCTGTCAACTGAACTGAACTAATAAACTGCAGTTAGCAGAGTTGTTCCTCAGTTACATTCCAATCATGGGAAAGCTAAACTCCAATTTTAAAATTCCAATTTAAGAAGTACTATGTTTGTCATTACTGCATAAGGGAATTCTAAAAGAAAAGGGAATGCTTTATGTATGTAGTTCCATGCCAAAACCAAAAAAATCCTTTTCAACTTTTTGACTTTTCCAGTATTTGTGTGCAGGCAGTAGGAAAATTTGATTAAGTTTAATATATTAGAAAAATAAGTACATTCATTTTATGTAACAATGGAAATATTTTACTTTTCTCACAACTGCTCACCCCAAGCACTTACCTTTCTTCAAGCATTTAATTTTATTTTTGCAAAACTGACAAACAGGTATCAAGAGCCTCTCAGTTAGGATTCAAAATTCATTTGCACTTAGGAATTAGGAAGTTGGTTGACAGAAAACCCACAAGTCAACAAACAGGCCTAAAACATTCAATACTG